GAGGAGGAGGAGGAGGAGGCGGAGGAGGAGACCCTCGCCAAGGCTATGCGGCTCTCCTGCGGGAGTGTCGCGTCGACGCCCCGGGTGCTGACTGGGACGTGGTGCTCACGCGCGGTCCCTCGTGCGCTTCTCGCAGTCCTCCGCGGCCTCCGCATGGGCGGACGTCTCCTGCTTCGGGTCCGACGTGCTGGCCTTCTCGCTCGACTCGGGGCCCGCGGTCCCTCCTGGGCGGGCTGGTCGCACATGGCACCCTTCTCGCTGGACTCGACGCCCTCGTACCCCGGGAGGGGCCTCGATGTCGCCAGCGGTCTCCTCCGCACGCCCAGGGCCGCGGCACGCTCCATCCCCGTCCCGCAGAGCTCCTTGCACGGATGGGCTGTGGCTGCTCTCCGGGAGGCCCTGCAAGCGGGCGACGGTGCCACGTTGCGCCTCGGCCAAGCGCTGGTAGACTCCGAGCTGCTCTGGTGGGTTCGGGCGCGGAATGTCTACCCGAGGACCACATGGAAGTATGCCTCAGGCTCATGAGGACACGGGCTTCACGGCGCGCGCACGACCAGCATGCAGCGACGGACTTGCGGGAAGAGGCTGGCCCCCAAAGGGGACGAGAACCGAACCGCCTTGAGCGAGGGTGACGAAACGGCGGCGTTGCACGTGGGTCTCGTCACCCTCGTGGCGACTGTTCATGGCTCCCTGGAGGGATGCAGGGCCCGCCGCGTGCCTTCTTCCACCAGCACTGCCAGGCGAGGCCAGGAGGCACGGGTAATTACCCTCGTGTGTCAAGAACGGTTCTACTGCGGGACCATCTTTGTACAGACCGTTGCGTTTTGTTGAGTGGCACCTTGCACACTGGGCACGTTCCTTCGCAGAAGCCACGCCATGCCCACTCATCAAGAATGCCAAACACTGGCGTCGACACATCCACAACAGTCACGTTTTCCGCAAGCCAATCCCAAATCTGACGCGCGAGAACGACACGAGTGCTACCATCTATGAAATGTAGTGTTTCTCGCCATCATGCATTTCATCCCGCAAAACACAGGGTTTCGCATCGGATCCTCCAACGTTCTCCTCATCATTATTCCCAGCCCATAGGATATGCCAACACTACTGTGCCCGAAGCGCTCGTGCTTCCTCTCCCTGTACCTCTCCCACTCCTCCTGTTCTGTCTCCTCCTCCTCCTCCTCCTCCTCCCTCTTTTCCCCTCCTTCCCCTCCTCTTCCTCCTCTTCCTCCTCCTCTTCCTCCTCCTCCTCCTCCTCCTCCTCCGCCTCCTCCCACTGCTCCTTGATCCTGTTTCCTTTTAAGCAAATCCTTCTTGCCGCACCCCGAGACCTGTCGGTAGGGCGGGCCAGGCGTTCCGCCCGAGACCTCCTCATCTGTCACAATGGTGAAGCTTGATGTTTGCAGCAGCTTGCAGCAGCCTCACGCATGCAGGGGGTTCGTTTTCGAAGTGGTGCTGTCGCCTGAGCGCAGTGCGCGGTTCGTCTCCAACGTCTGCGGCAGCTTCTCGGATGGAAGGGGGCGCGTTTTAGGTGTGGCGCTCGCCTCAGCGGCGCGCACCTTCGTCTTGGCTGGAAGGGCGGGGTCAAAGCGGCGCGCTCGCCTCCGCGCCGCGCGCACTCGCTCGAAACATTTTTGCGATAGCTTCACTGGTGGACGGCGGCCTGTTCAAGCTGTGGCTCTCGCTTTCAGCGACGCGCACCTCTGCCGGAGGCAGTCTGGAAGGGAAGCCTGGGGGGCTCAGCGCCGCTCCCGGGGTCGCTTCCAGAGGCACCCCGCCGCGCGCGGGGCCCGCCAGGCGCGCTCGTGCTCCAGGCTGTCCCTGCCCCCCCCCCCCCTCCCCGGCTGCACGCTCGCAGGGCTTTGCCTTCGAGGGCCGGCCCGCGGGGCTCCTGGAGGCACGCAGACGGCCATGTCCGCACCGACTCGACAAGAAGAAGTCGGAGGCAGTTTTACCCACGGGGGGGGGGAGGGGGGCCGTTTCCACAATGTGGTTCTCGTTGCAGCGCTGGTTGCATTCGTTTCAAAAATCGAACGGGGGGGCGTTTCCAAAATGGCGCTCTCGCCCCAGCGCCGCGCACATTCGTTTCGAAGTGTTGCAACAGCTTCGAGAACTGAGCACGGGTCGTTCTCAGACTGGGGATATCGCCTCAGAACGCGCGCGGTCTCTCTTCAAAGCACCGTGTAGCGGGATGGTGGACGGTCGGAGCGAGATATGAGATCGGGGTCGGCTCGGGGAGGGTACCCTGATTGGTTCGTGTCCGTTGGATGTTCTCGCGCATCCTGGGGGAGGGTACCCTCGAATGTTCTTCGGCTCGGCAGCGGGAGGGCCCCACGTTCTTGAAGGGTGTTATACTCTGTCCCAGATCCGGCCGTCATCACACGGATGGGGAGAGAGTCCTTCTTCGGAGAGGGGGACATCGCTGGACATGTCGCTGAACTGTGCGATCGATCTTCTCCCGCGCTCGTGACTGCGCGCCCCATCCATTACGATGCAGGGCAGCCCCTCTGCAGAGCGGGGCACTCGCCAAAATGGCAGGCCCAATTGCTCTCGTCTTGCAAGGGGGCGCTTCTTGTAGTGAAAAAGAGGACTTGTACGGTAGGGGCGTTGGTTAAGAACGTGCACGGGAGGCTTCAGACACTGGAGGGTGCCTTATCTGATGAGGACGGCGGTAATATTCACTGCCGATCGGCGCTTGGAGTTCCACTGGCTTCCAGGCCCTGGATTTCTTATCCAATGCTTCTTATCCAATGCCCAAAAGTAAGCTTCTGTGTATTTCTATATTTTGAAATTTTACGAGCACGCGTCTCACGACTGCCTTCGCGAAGCAGCGCTTCATTTCGGATTTGATGTTGGCTTACTCCAGGCGCTGTGCGTGCAGTACCGCGTTGTCAGAACGGCTCGCCTCGGTGCTGCCATCAGCGACGTGTACTTGCCGAATGTGACCATTATTGCCCGGGGTTCGTGTGCGACGGCTCTGGCGAAGCTGGGCATGCTCACGTCGTTGAAGGATGCCGTGGTGGCGCTCCCTATCGGTCGTGCTGTCAACGTGATCGACGACGCGTCTTGCCACGCCGTTGGAGGCCCAGCCACGATCGCCGGACAGCTTGGCAAGTTCGCGGCGGTATTTGTGGCGGGCCTCCAGCAGGACGGTCTGCCCCTCAATTCGTCCAAGACCAAGGCGCTCGCGTCCTCGGCTGCGATGTGCGATGTGCGATGCCCTGTTGGAGCAGCCTTCCTGGCCGATTTCGGCCGATAAGTTCGTGTTTGCCCATCGGGAGCTCTGCGGGGATTCAACGTCCGGCAGCTACAGCAGCGAGGCCACCCAGATTGCCCGCGAGAGTGCTTCCCTGCGGCAGGCTGCCAAGCTCGTGCGTGTCTTTGGTGCGGGTGTCAGGCAGGCGCGGGTCCAACGAGCGGG